AATTCATCCACTGCGCCCAGCGAAGTAACCCAGCCGACCCATTGACAAAGAAAGTCCTTGAGCAGACGGCCAGACCAGGGCCTGAATTCAGCCTCCAGAGCTCAACAGCTCTGCCCGTGCATCCCAGTCCGACAGTGACACTAAGCCCAGTGTGGGAAAGGACTTCTCTTTTCTCTGAGACCCGCGCTGTGTCCAGGATGTGACCCAAGTCCAAACAACAGCTGCAAACACGTATTTTCTTATCTCCCTTTCCAATCGTGGCACGTCTCCAGGTTGAACAATAGCCATTGGATTGTCTATTTTCTGGCTAAAGGGAGACAATGGGAGTCAATATGAGCAAAAATATTTCTCCGTGTAGATCAAGGACAATCGCTGTAATAAGAAGAGGACGTTTTCAAGGAACTCCCCTTCCAGGGAACAAAAAGCCACAAGGCCAGGTGCCACGGCTCTTTCTCTGGAAATGGCAGCAGCATGCTCTCCCCATCTCTACCCAAGCATTGGCCTGCTGAGCCGTGGAGCCGTGCCCCAGACCCACACCCGAATCAAACCGGAGCGTTCTAACCAAACTGGAGGGTTCTTCCTTCCCTTTGGGGTTTTTCGAACTGGTCCCTTTCAAGGGCTGGGAAGGGAACAGACCCTAATGTGCAGGGGAAAAAGGTGGCTTGTTTAAGGGGAAAAAGAAAAGAAAAAAACAAAACCCTGATAACACAAAATTTAAAAATGAGGAATGCAAAGCATAGTAGAGAGAAGGGTTCACACCACTGCATCTGTCCTGCCGGCACAGGCGCTGGGCCAGAGACCTCCTGAGTGACCCAGTCAATCACATAGGGGCAGAAGGGAATGATGGGGCCGAGCTGGGATTTCCTAACCCCGGTCAGCATCTGTCTTCCCAGTCGGGTATTTTAAAATGCTATTGGGGTGACTGATGATTTTTTTTTTTTCCCCCCTCCTTTACCCTCAGAGTGTGCAACCTTCGGTACGAACGAGTTTGGGTACAAAGCAGAAACACCCTTTTGGCGTGTGATTTCTGGGGAAATGAAGCCTTTGGGCCGTGCCCGCGGATCGGGATGCATGTGCTGGCGGGAGCCTGCGGGGAGGAGGCGAGGCTGGTGCCAGGGCCCCGCCGCACGGCTGTCTCCCGGCGGTGTTTCCCGCAGGGTGCCCGGTCGGGTGCCGGAGGAGCATCCAGCCGGGCCCGGACGTCAGCGCGGG